TCATATCCTATTGATTATTCCAGAAAAGCAATATAGTAAAACATGAAAATAACTGAATTGGCCAAGAACCTTGAGTAACAGCAAGTAACAGCACCATGTATGTCACTAGTTGGCAGTAATCTTGGGACCTTCAAGGACCACTTTCAACCTCAGTGTTTCTATGTGTGACATGAAAAGAAAAGATGAGATGAAACTTTCTCTCTGGTTTAAATGTTTATGTGGCATCTGTAGCCTTTGCATCTGAGCCACGTAGAAGGACAAGTTAGCAGAGAAGCCTGGAAGACAAGATGCACCTATTTTATTCACCAAATATGTATTAAGTACCCAGAACCTGTTCTTACTGTGCTGGGCTGAGTGGCGAACAAGACAGAAAATGTCTCTATTTCTTGAGAGGTGCCAGAAAAATATTTGCTCTTTTATTAGCATGGAAATCTATTAGCACATACTCTACAGCTTTTGTATGATATTTTTATTTTTGCTATGAAACTATTCTCTAAATTATGGTCACACATGGGCATAGTGTAGCTGTTTTGTTTAGTGAGCTGGGGGGTGCTGAAACAAAATACTACTGGCTGAGTGGCTTAGACGATGGAAGTTTACTGTCTCACACTTACAGAGGCTAGAAGTCTGAGATTAAGGGGCCAGCAAGGTCTGTTCCTCCTGAGAGCTGAGAGGAACCTGAAAGCTGTTCCAGGTCTTCTCCTAGCTTCCGGGGGTCAGGTGGAATGTTCACTGATGCTTAATTTATCTCCATAAATTAATTTATCTCCATCCCTTCATGTTCCTAGAGTGCCCCCTTTATGTACCTGTTTTGAAATTTACCCTTTGTTTTTTAATATTTGTTTCTACTTATTTATTCAGCTAGGCCAGTTCTTAGTTGCAGAACTCAGAATCTTTAGTTGTGGCATGAAAACTCTTAGCTGTGGCTTGTGGTACCTAGTTCCCTGACCAGAGGTGGAACCCAGGCTCCCTGCATTGGGAGCAAGGAGTCTTACCACTGGACCCCCAGGGAAGTCCCTTGAAATTTACCCCTTGTATGAAGACACCAGTCATAGTGGATTAGTGCCCACTCTTCTCCAGTATGTTCTCAGTTCAGTTTAATTCAGTCGCTCAGTTGTGTCTGACTCTTAGCGACCCCATGGACTGCAGCATGCCAGGCCTCCCTGTCCATCGCCAACTCCCGGAGTTTACTCAGACTCATGTCCGTTGAGTCTATGTCCTCATCGCGTCAGAATGTCCTCATCTGAACTAATTCCATCTGCAATGACCCTATTTCCATACGAGTTCATGTCAGGAAGTGGGGAAGGCTGACACTCCAACCTGTGAATCTGGAGACACAATTCACCCCTGAAAGTGAAAGTGAAAGTCACTCAGTTGTGTCTGACTCTTTGCGACCCGATGGATCTACAGTCCATGGAATTCTCCAGGCCAGAATACTGGAGTGGGCATCCTTTCCCTTCTCCACGGGTCTTCCCAACCCAGGGATCTAATCCAGGTCTCCTGCATTGCAGGCAGATTCTTTACCAGCGGAGCCCACCAGGGAAGTCCTATGGAAGATTGAGGGCAGGAGGAGAAGGGGGCAGTGGGGGATAAGATTGTTGGATGGCATCATCAACTAAATAGGTATATGTTAGAGCAGACTTCAGGAGATAGTGAAGGACAGGGAAACCTGGTATGCTACAGTCCATAGAATCGCAAAGTCAGACATGACTTAGTGACTGAAAAACAACAAGGCTGGGAAAGAAAGAGGGGAGGTGTTTGTGGGAATGGAGGCAGGGGTTGGACAAGAAAAGCTTTCCTAAGAATCCTTGAGAGCAGCAGAGACTTTGCATCGCCCTGGGAGGTGAGAAAACTTGCAGTTTTCTGGCCCACCTGGGAAGCTGGGCCCCTGGAAGAGAAACATGTAGCCTGCTTGGAAGGGACTGCAGGGCTCAGGAAAGAGCCTGCTAGATAGACAGGGAGATGGGCTGAGCATGAAGGGTTACACTCTGGATCCAAGCACCGTAAAATCCCCCAGGGACCCGTGGGCCTCCAGGAAAAGACAATCAGAGTAACAGCTGACATTTAATTGCCTGCTACTCTCCAGAAATAGGGAACTGAATTTAAGGCAATTTAAAAAATTTTTAAAAATGTGAGTGTTCTGGACTTCAGAATGTGTGATTATGAACCCATGCAAACTCCACTGCTTGAAAAGGTTTAAATTTAAGCCACCGAATGAATCTTGATCTTCAGTTTTGTAGCTAGAGAAGGAACTTCCTGATGGACTTCATTTCTCCAGCATCTGGACCATTTGCTGGGGCACTGACTCCCTGGCAACAACCTAGCACAAAATCTTGCCCTCAGTAGGTTATCAACAAGGGGGTTCTTCAGAACGATGAGTCATGTTGCCCACAGGCACAAGCGCTTAGCAACAGTGGGTATTTTTAAAAATAAGCTTGACACAACAAACGTCTGGGTGAGATGGTTGAAAGCCATGAGAGGAATGGACTGAAAATCAATCAGTGATGGGTGGATGTGACCTCGAGAGATACAGGCAGTTCATTGGAGAGAATTAGGAAGGACACAGCTCAGGGCAGAGGACTCATCTACATTTACTGAGCACTTACTATGCCCAAGGCCCTCTGGGAAATTCAATAGAAACTTTACTTCATTTCTTGTCTGCAGACTCTTATGACCTAATAATCAGACAGTAAATATCCAAAACATGAAGTCTAACAGATGCCATGGAGACAAATGAACTATTATTACACAACTCCAGACATCTGGAGATGGGGAAAGCAGTGATGAGTTAGGAAGACATCATAGAGAAAAGTCTTGAGATTTTTGAGATTCAGGGCATGGCCTGCTGCAAGCTGTGTTATCAGTGATGATGTTGTCTTTCCCCGTCTCCCCAACAACAAGCAGGTTAACAAAGACAAACATGGGAATGACCTCACACACACATGCAGACACATACACATTACTACTTAAGTACTTGCAAGAGACACAAAGGCTCAATGACACAATTGGATAAGAGGTTGGTTTTGTACATCAACCCTCTCCCTGCCAACCGCCCCCCTCCCCCCTCCCCCAGGCTTGATTCCCACACCCTTGCTAACTACAGAAGCACCTCCATCCCTGTGGACGCATTCATCACTTCTCCGGATACTTGCTCTCATCCATCCATCCCTTCATTCATAAGCAGTATCGCACCACTGCTTTCCCGGCTCCACAACCTGTGTACAGAAGGGCCGAATATATTTTCTGTGAAGCTCAGGCCTTTATGCAGAACCATTTTCATCTTCTGGTGAGAGGCTGGAGTAACCAAGTGTTGTTAGAATTCTTCCCATTGTGCCTTTTTTTCTTGAATGATGACATTTATACAAAGAATTTGACAGAGACATCAAAAGCGCTCATTCATATTTGGGGAGGGATTCATATTTGAGAAGTTACCAGAATAACTTCTCAGTGTAGATGAGGCAGATTTATTATTATTATTTTTAAAGATGTGTATGTAGTAGAGGAAGATAAATTATGCAGTGTCAAGATAGCTAAGAATGTTGTAGTTTGGGGGGAAATGAGACAAAGTACAGTTAAGGATTACGGAATCCTTACAACTTTCCAGTTATGTTGAGATTGCTCTTTGCTTATTTGCCGTATTTAATCCCTGCCAAGATCTCTATGACCATTGGTAGTTTTCAGATAAGAAAATCAAAACCCAAAGAAGTTAACTAACTTGCTCAGTTAAGGTCACTGGGTCCATTAGGTGATGGTTGAGACTGCAGAGTCAACACTGGAGGGTGTGGTGTTAAGGACAAAAGCGGTGAGGGTGGGTTTTCCCATACTTCGGGAGAATAATCTATGTATTGAAGGAGGCATTCTTTCATACACATCAGTAGGTTTTGTTCAGGTACGCAAGCTGGAAACAGAATTTAATGCCTGTGTAACTTCTAGTTACTAGAGGGAGTGGCAACGAGAAATCTTACAGAAAAATTCTACCTTCAAATACCTTTGCCTCTAACAAGCTGGAAACCCTAAAGCAGAGGAAGTCCACAGCCTAGTCTGGAACTCGGGAATCCACAGAGCGGAAGGACCGGAAAAGCCCGGTGCTCCATCAGTCCAGCAGGTCAGGTACGCGGAGGCAAAGACCTTTGGCGCGATGAGATGCTGGCTTAGAAAGGCCCTCAGCCTTTACGCACGGTCCCCACGCTCCGGGGCATGAAGCCCAGATTCCGGGAGCCCGGATCTGGTCCGAGGCGGCCCGGCCCGGTTCTGTTTCTATCGCCGCGCTAAGAATGTTTTGGCTCCCCCATTCCTCTCCCAGCTTGCGGATCTTTGTACCCCCGGAATGTCGGCATCGGGGTCCCCGTCTTCTGGCCGCCACCGAACCGAGGCCGCGGCGTTCCTCCTGGCGGCCTGGGGTCCGGGCGGTCCTGGGGGAGCCGGGGGTCCCCGCGGGCCTCGCGCGGGCGGCATCCCCCCGCGGGCCGCGCGCCCTGGCTGGAGGGCGGGCGGGAATAAAGGGCGGCTCCGCGCGGGGCGGCGCGGACAGCCGGCCTCAGACCGCGGACTTCGGCGCTCGGAGCCTCGCTCGCGGCCGAGCAGGAGCGGCAGCCCCCACCTCCGGGGCCCCGGACGCGCGGGACCAGGTGGGTGACGCGCGGTCCCTTTGTGTCGGCCTCGCCGGGACGGGCGCGGCCGAGGGCCCCGGGGGAGGTGGCCGTGCTGAGCGGATCCGGCAGCAGCGACGGCCAATCCATCCCCGCCAGGGGCCCCTCCCCGGCCCTGCCCCTGGGTGGCCCGGGTGCCGCCGCTTCCCGTCGCTCCGGCGGGTCCCGGGGGCGGCGGGGGTGGCCGATGGGGTCTGGCCGGGGCCATCCGGCGGGACGCGGGCAGGCGGCGGCCAGGTCAGCCCTGCCGCGGTGGGCCGGCGCCGCGTCCTCCGCGGTGCACATCCCGGCGCCCATGACCGCGGCCGCCCGCGTCCCTCCAAGCCTTCCCCTCCCCAGGGGCGCGCAGAAAGTTCTCCGCCACCCCTGTTCCCCCATCCTACCCTCCAGCAGGCTCCCCAGTTTCCCAGCACTGTCCTGGGCACCCAGCTCTGGGCCTCCTGCGAATCTGGGCTATCAGGTCCCGAGGAGGAAGGGGTTACTCACTGCGCCCTCATGATCTCGTGGATGTCCAGCTCCAAAAGTTCTCTCTCCCTGCCCTCTTCCCAGTGAACAGGCACATCATCATAAAAAGCCCAGTCAACAAATAGCCTATGCTGGCCTCCTGCCAGGCCTCAAGGCTGGGTGAGGGAACCCCAGGGGACTATCCCCAGGGGGTCCTGCCACCCCCACCCCTCGTGGGGTGAGGGGGATCTGGTCTCCGAACTGGAAACAGACTCACTTCTTGCTTTGATGGTGGGAAGGAAGCCCTTTCCCAGAAGTGGGGCCTGGGCATCTGATAAGGACGCATTCCAGGCAATCTGGCTGGGGGGCAGGGCAGATAAGCCCTGTGGATAAAGAAAGTGTGAGACCCAGAGAGCGAGGTGAGGACCGCCTGCCTGAGAGCCCTGGGAGATCCCAGGGCAGAGAGGCCGGGGAAGGAGGGTCTGGACTGCTGGTGAAGAGGGAATTGAGTCAGAGCTTGGAGGTGGGACAGGTTCTAGGTGGGCAGAGGGAACTGGCCAGCGGAGGAAAGAAGGGACACAGGTGTGCGTCTTGACCTTTCCCTCGGACCTGCAGCTCCCGTGCTCCTTGGACGTGGTCCCTCTGGGATGGTGCCCAGAGCAGGTTCTCAGGAAAGGGAACCGAGATCCCCCTTTCCTGGTCTTCTAAAGGTTCCTAGTGCCTTTTCAAATCTTACTTTTATTATTTTCTAGAGTGCAAACGAATTATGACTAGTGTGGTTAGATGAGGGTAGATGGTGAAATGTTGAATTCCAGGCCAACTTATGGCCTTGATCCTGTGGCAGTGGAAGTCATCAATGGTTCTGGATGGTTCAGAGAGTGGGCTAGGCCCCCACTGAGGGTGGGGCAGGCAGCTGTGAGGGGTGGGAAGTGTGGCTTTTAGTCCCCCTGGTACTTCTCATCAAAGGTCGGGCAGGGCTTGAGAACCTCAGGAAAAAGCAAGATGCAAATGGCCTAATTTTAATGGGAGGGGAGTTTTTGAGATCCAGCACCATTGGAGTTTGGAAGTTTGTGTATAAAGAAGCTCTGGTTCAAATGTCAGGATCCTTGGAAGGGAAATGGATGAACCAGTCAGATGCTGAGGGTAGAGCTGTGGCCAGTGGATGATGGTGTGGGCTCCCATGGGCCTGGAAAATGGGGGTGTTGAGACCTGCATGAACACTTTCAAACGCCTGTGTTTTATAAGCCTGTCCAGTGCCCTGGTTTTAATCAAGGGCGCTTATCGCACCCAGATCCTCACCCGAGTACAGGGCTTGGCCTGTGGACTCCATGTGGTTTGGGACTCGGAAGGGACCTCCCACACTTCAGTGGAAGCTGCTGGTGTCCAGCGGGGTGAACGTGCCGTTCGGCCAGACGCCGGGAGCCACGTCGCCTGTGTTTTCCACTGTGGTTCATGGTTTGGCCCCACCGCCTTCTTTTGTGCAAATTTCACTTTCCTCTTAGGAGCCTCTGTCTCTCTGGTGTGGAGACAGGGAAAGTCTGTCCACACGGAGAGTGAGCATCACAGAGCTCACTGGTCATCACAGATCCCCAGCCCAGCCGCCCATTGTGACTGAGGACTCTGTGGACTGGAGGGGGACGGTCAGGGGCCCGGCCACAAACAGGGCTGTGGCCAGCTTGGGCCCAGCACCAGCCCTCCTGATGGTCTGCTGTTCTTTCTCTGGCTCCATGATTAAACTGGGAGGATGGAGATGTGTCCACTGCCCTTGGGGTCTGCTGGTCTGGAGCCACTCTTCCAGAGGATCTGGCCAAGCGAGGACCTGCCCTGGGTCCCTGAGGTGTGGACAGTCAAGGGCAGCCAGGAGTGAGCAGAATGGAATGCTCCGACGGAAGATGGACCCTGTCCACACTCACTTGGGGGAGTTTCCTACCTTCGAGGACCAAGGACTGAGTTGAAGGTTCTTTCCTTTGAGATGAAAGAGTCATCCGAGGTCGTCATTTCTGGAAGCGGTCTCCTCTCTCCTTTGTTTCTGCATCACTGACACACATGGATACCTTTTCTTAATTAGATGAAGAAATTAAATGGAAGCAACTGTTCGTATACCTGCTGGGGAGTTCGGCTGAAGGACAGAGCTTGTCCAACTTTCTGACCCAGCTCTGTGACCTTGAGCAAGTGTCTTAACTACCTTGTGTGGCCCCAGTTTCCTCCCACTGTGAAACTAAGATGTTGGTCTAAATGATCGTCAAGATCCGGATTAAGAATGTGCTGCTTTAAAGGTCTCTTCCAGGAGCATCAGTCTTGACAATGCAACCATTTTTAAGAAATTTTGCAAGATAAAAAATTACATATATATAAATATTTATACACATGTATCAGTTTCAGAACAATGGTTTTCCTCAGAGATGATAAGTTGAGAGATGGGGCTTTGAAGAGGGTCATTCCTTGATGATGAGAGTCTGTATCTTCCTTCTTTCCTGGAGTCGAAAGCCTGGATCTGATGGAGTTTCCTGATTAGCAGGTGCAGAGAGAGCCGGGCTTTCTCTGAGGAGCAAACTGATGAGCTGGATGCAGTGTTAGGAGAAAAATAAGTTCCTGGATGGCGTGATGAACCGAGCCAACTAGGTGAAATGCAGTCTCTTGGGGTCTGACTTTGGAAAGCCAGGAAGCAGTGGATGTTCATTTAGCCTTTCCATCACCAGGTGCTGATGGGAAGTGCTCTGAGTGCTGTGGACCTAGTTCTGAGGCGGCCCGTAGGAAGGACAGGCATCACTACCTTCCCTGATCTACAGGGGAGTGAAGAGGCTTAAGGAGCCCTTATGGCGTCCAAGGCCAGGCACCCGGTACATGGCTAAAGCTGGCGTGGAACTCAGAGCCCCTTGGAAAAAAGGTATATTCCCTGTCCTTGAGGAGGCTATGGTCTGGGGGTTGGGAAGCAGCCAGTCACAGATTGTTCTAGTGCTGGGCTTGGTACACGCAGTTCCGGGGGTTATGGTGAGGAGTTTGCCTGCTGGAGCTGGTAAGGCAGGCTGGGTCTTGAGGATGAGTCCCTGTTGGCAGGCAGATGAGGTCAGGGTCACAGGCTGGGCCTGGCAGCAGCAAGAAGCTGCCTGGGGGGTGCAGGGAGCCTCGGGCTGTTGTAGTGGGGCTGTGATGGATTTGTCCTGCTGGAGGGTGACCCTGTCTCTGGATCCTGCTCAAAGCAAGACCCCCAGCTGCAGCAGCATTGCTGTCACTTCTGGAACCTTCTGGTTGGTCCCACCAGCGCGAGTTCTTTGGTTTTAATGCCTCTGACCTCTTTTGCCTCTCTCCCGCCCCCACCCCCCACCCTCGCCAGTTTGCTTGTAGAGAAGAGGGTGTCCCAGGAAGATGAGAGGAAGCCCAGCTGCAGCCCAGGGTCTGCTCGCTCTGTCTGCAGGGTCACCTGAGCAAGGCTGCCGTGATCCCCCAGGCGGTGGCAGCCTGACCTGGTGGACAAGCACCGAGCTGGAAGTGCGGCCCCCAGAAGGACGTCAGCGCGGCTGGGGTCACCCCCTGATCTTGCCAGCTCTGCCCTGCAGGCCAGGACACGGCAGAGCCGCTGGGTCAGGGGGTTACAAACCAAAATACTGACTCTGTCTCTCAGGCTAGGTTATCGGTTAAACAGGGCTTCAAGTCTGTCCTTGGAATGCCTCCCGCACAGCGGTTCACTTGGGACATATTTTAGTTTCCAAAGGGTCAGTTTTCAAGCAGTCCTTTGAAACAGGGCATGTTTGATGTTGGGGTGCCAGCATCTAAAGGTGATCTGGAGGGAGGTGGGGCTGTGCCAGCTGCACCCAAGGAGCAGCAGAGACTGCCTCTCGGATTCCCACTGACCTGCTAGCCTCACAGGCAGGCAGGGGGCCGTTCCGTGATGCTCTGTCTCTGCATCCGGGAAGTGGTACCCGGATGGCGGCAGGTGATGTGTGTGTCCTGCTACCCACCCTCCATGGTTGGCTCCTCTGAAGTTGCTCCATCATTCCAGAGTGGCCCCGCCAGCCAGCCACTGCGGCCCCCCTCCCTGGTGAGGCTTGTCCACACTGCCTGCAGGAGGGGTAGCCTGCAGGACAGAGAGGCTCTTTGCTCCCCTGGCTCATGGGTGGAAAGTGTGCAGACCTCTGTGTTAGGGGCCTCTTCCACCTGAAGGTAAATCATCTTTTCGGTGGGTGTCCTGAAGCCAGAATTATTCAGGCGTGTGTCACATCCCAGGACAATCTTTGTTCCTTCTCTGTGGTGTCTCTCCCCAACTCCCCGCCCCGCTTCAGGCTCACCACTGACCCAGAAAGTTGACAGCTTTCTGGCTGAGACTCTGCTGCTCATGAAGTCACAGCTGTGCCTCTGGATCGAGGCTCCATTAGTTTCTTCTGGGTTCCAGCCCGTCTTTCCACGCTGATCTCTTCACAGCCTCCACACTTCTCAACCTCCAGCTTAGACCCTGAAACAGTCTCCCTCCGCCTCCAGGTGTCAAATTCCTAATGATCCTTCCAGGCTCCACAGGCATGTTGCGTTTTTCTTAAAGCTGCGGGATCACTGGTGTGGGGGCTGTGGAGGCTGAGTCCTCCAGCAGTGGCATCTTCCAGAGGAGGGAATGCAGGCCTGGGAGCCCCATCAGGCCCCTTCCCTTCCCAGCCTGAGCATCTTTCCCCTCCCGGGAGCCGGGAGCCTCTTCTCTGCCAGGTGTTTCTACGGTGACTTTTTTTCAGAACCTGAAATTGCACTTAAGCCTCTCTAATTTTTCTGTAACTTTATCCTTCCTTTTACTAAATTGCAAGCCCTACAAATGTAGGGACCTATTCATTTTAACATTCCCTCAGTGCCCATCATGGTCTCTCTCATTGCATTTTTGCTCCGTGATTGAATCCAAGGGAGAGAAACCTGGTCCGGAAGGGAACGTGGGGTAGGTTATCGACGAGGAGATGGGATCCAGGCTCGCGTTCTGTTCTCCGGCAGGATCTGAACAAACAGAGACGTGCTCTGTGTTTTGGGGAGGTCCAGCCACAGAGCAGGACAGCGCAGGACTGTGTGGGGCCGAGGTGGGTGGGGGTGTTGGCTTGTGGTCCAGGGGAAGACCCAGCCTGCAGGTTGGTTGTCTGGGATGTCAGGGGGTGGGCTGGACCGTCCCAGGTCGCCTGGACGTGGGGACAGCAGGCACCCCAGTTCCAGTTTCAGGTGGCAAGCCTTGCGTGGACCGGCTGGAGGGGACCAGGTGGCCTGAGCTCCGTGGGGCAGGGAGGTCTAGACAGGGAAGGGGTTGTGCAGGACCCAGCCAGGGAGACGTGATGGGGGGACGGTGACCCCCCGGGGCCCACCCGGGTGGGTGTTATGGGAACTCCAGTGAGGAAACGACTGCTGGGAAGTAGGGTGAAGGTGGGTAGACCTTGAAGAGGGGTTACTGGAGAAGGGG